CGCTCCCGCGGGGGGAGAACAGGGGGGACTCGCTCCTGCGGGGAGAGAGGGGGAGAACAGGGGTATGGAGGGACTTGCGCCTGCAGCGGGGGAAAGAGAGCGGGAAGAACGGGAGACCGGGTTGATGGGACAGGATCAGCCCATGGAGCTGAGGGGCCGAATGGCCTACTCTTGCTGTGTACCTGCAGGCGGTGACGGTGAACGTGAATCTCGGAGGGCGGAGAGACAAGGCCAAGGCCGGAGACGAGAAGCTGGAGGCAGCCCCTCAGATCATGGACCTGCGGCTGATCGGGCAGATTGACCCCCTGTGCCAGGGGCAGGCACTGAGAGCAGCGGGGAAGCGCAGGAGGCAGCTGCAGAAACGGGCAGGTGGGCAGCAGCGAGTTGGAGGTGGAGGGTAACGCTGGACAATGCAGTTGACGACGGCTCAGATGCCCCCAGCCAGCAGTGCAAGGCGTCTGGCACTTCAACTTCAGTAGGCATCACTGCTGCTTGTTGTCTGCACTTGGCCAGCCCTGACCACAAGGGGGCTCCCTGCCACCCACAACTATCCATACTGTCAGGGCCGAGGGAGCGGGCACCGTCGGGGGGTCGGCGGTGAGGGAGCGGGCGCTGTCGGAGGGTCAGCGGTGAGGGAGCGGGCGCTGTCGGAGGGTCAGCGGTGAGGGAGCGGACGCTGTCGGAGGGTCAGCGGTGAGGGAGCAGGGCACTGCGGGAGGGTGAGGGAGCGGGGCGCTGTTGGAGGGAGTGGGCGCTGTTGGAGGGTCGGTGCTGAGGGAGTGTGCACTGTCGATGGGTGAGGGAGCGGGCGCTGTCAGAGGGTCGTCGCTGAGGGAGTGTGCATTGTCGGCGGGTGTGGGAGCGGGCGCTGTCAGAGGGAGCAGGCGCTGTCGGAGGGTCGGTGCTGAGGGAGTATGCATTGTCGGGGGGTGAGGGAGCAGGCGCTGTCGGAGGGTCAGCGAGTGGAGGATAATGCCCCTGCCCCTAATGTATTGAGACCCCTGACCAGCCTGGGCATCTTGGCCTGCTGCTAACTCCCTTACCCTGTGCATTATGTCTCCTCACAGATAAACTGGCTACAAAGCTTTCCCACACTCTCTCTGCCGCTATGGACCTCTCCCTGGACTGACGGGACATGGCTCAGGGATCTGTGAGAGCGGGACGGTAATGGGGGCTGGGGTTACGGGGTTGAGAAACCGAGGACAGCTCTGGCGGGTCCCTCTGTTTTTCCCCCACTCGATCAGCTCCTCCCCAGCATCGCCTGGAATGTTTCAGAATCAGCTTCCCGACTCCACAGAAACTCCCAGAGTGTGACATCGGAATCCCCCCACCCGCTCTCTGGGAGTCCTTGAACCTTGTTTGTTGTTTTGGGGGGTTGGAGGGGTCACATCTGTGGGGCAATTCCGACCTGCCTCATCACCTCAGACTCTTCCCCCCACCCCTAACCCTCCGTCCTGTGGTAGCAGTGCAATAAATGTAATTTATTCGGCCTAATGGCCTGGCAAAACCTGATGGTCTCCCCTCCTGTTATTTCTCTCATGGTTGGCACAGAGCCACCCAGTTGACGCAGTTTTCAGTGGTTTGCCCTCTCCTTCCAGTCTGTCGTGCCAATAATTTACCGTCTCCATAACCCTGCACGTTGCTCCTTTCCAAATACTGTTTGATTTTCCCGCCCATCTCTCTCTGTCCCTCTCCCTCTCTGTGTCTGTGTTTCTGTCTCTCTCTCTGTCTGTGTGTCTCTCTCTTCTGTGTCTCTCTCTCGCTCTCTCTAGGGGTAAGCCCAGAACTGGATACTCTCCTCCAGCTAAGTCTGGATGATGTCTGGTACGCATTCAGGGTCGGCCCCTTCCCTGCACTTGTGCTCTGTGCCCCTGATCGAAAAGCTCGAGGTGCCATCCGCGATGCTGGAGGGCTTGAGTTATGAGGAGAAGCTAGGACTTTTCTTTCCCTGGAGCACCAGAGGCTGAGGGGTGACCTTTGTAGAGGTTTGTGAGGGGCATGGTTACAGTGAATAGCCAAGGTCTTTTTCCCCTCAAGGCAGGGGAGTCCAAAACTAGAGGGACATAGGTTTAAGGTGAGAGGGGGAAAGGGACCTGAGGGTAACTTTTTCATGCAGAGGGTGGTGCGTGTATGGAACGAGCTGCCAGAGGAAGTGGTGGAGGCTGGTACAATGACAACATTTAAAAGGCATCTGGATGGGGACATGGATAAGGAAGGGTTTAGAGGGATAGGGGCCAAATGCTGACAAATCCTCTCCCCTCTCCCCTCTTCCGGTCGCTCTTCAATCTCGCATCCTTTTTATTTTAAATCGTCTCTCGAGGCCGTTGCGTGGCACTGTATCAGCCGCCTGTGGGGAAAAATATATCCACGGACACCACATCCACCATGTTTCCCTCATCGACCCTCTCCCTTACACCCGGCTTAGCTTCGCTCACTGTTTGAGGGGCGTCGCTGGACAGGCCTGCATTTGTTGCCCAGAGTCTACCACCTTGCTGTGTGGGTCTGGAGTTCCCTGTAGACCAGACTGGGGGGTAAGGATGGCAGTTTCCTTCCTCAGGGGGGCATTTTCCCCAAACCTGGCGTCATTAGACTCTCGATTCCTGATTTTAACAGAATTGAAACTCTGCCGTCTGCCTTGGCAGGATTTGAACCCAGGTTCCCTGGTGGGGGTGGGTGGGGGGGCGGGGGGGGTGGGGGGAGGTCACGTGAGTTAATAGTCCAGTGAACACACCACTCATCCTTGGCTCCTCAGTAAACGCAACACTGTTTTCTTTGGTTCTTCATCACATGGCTAAAGGAAAGATGGCTTAACTCTTAAAGATGTGTAGAGGTTTCCTCTGAAGTCTAACTGATGTGTAAGTAATGACTGGATGCAGTTACCGATGAGAAATAGGAACGGGAGTGGGCCATTCGGCCCCTTGAGTCTGGTACAGAAGTTTGCGTCACAGGGTGGGGAAGAAGGCATTTGGCACGCTTGCTTTCATCGCTCAGACCCTTTGAGTATAGGAGTTGGGAACGTCACGTTGAGGTTGTACAGGGATGTTGGTGAGGCCGCTTCTGGAGCACTGTGTCCAGTTCTGGTCGCTCTGTTATAGGAAGGCTATTATTAAGTTCCAGAAGAGATTTACTGGGATAGAGCAAGGAATGGAGAGCTTTGAGTTATAAGGATAGCCTGGGATTTTTTCCCCCTGGAGCGTAGGAGTTTGAGCAGTGACCTTGTAGAGATTTATAAAATCATAAGGGGCATACTTAAGGTGAATAGCAAGTGTCTTTTCCCTAGGGTGGGGGGATTTCAACACTATGGAACATATTTTTAAGGTGAGAGGGGAGAGACTTAGAAAGGACATGAGGGGTAACTTTTTTTTTTTGAAAACAGAGTGGTCCATGTGTGGAATGAACTTCCAGGTGAAGTGGTGGATGTGGGTACAGTTACAACGTTTAAAAGACATTTGGATAAGGACATGGATGGGAAAGGTTTGGAGGGATATGGGCCAGAAACAGGCAGGTGTGGGAATAGCTTTAGTTTGGGATTATGTTTGGCACAGACTAAAGGGTCTGTTTCCCTGCTGTACGACTCTGTGAGCCTGTGGCTGAACCCACATTCCTCACATCCACTTCCCTGCCCTTTTCCCCTCGATTCCTGTATTGATCAAGAATTTCTGCCCCCATGGCTTTCTGTGGCAAGGAGTTCCAAAGACACTCAACCCTCAGAGAGAAGAAATTCCTCCTCATCTCAGCCTTAAATTGGCACCCCATTATTCCGAGACTGTGCCCCTCTGGTCCTAGACTCTCGTGAGGGAGGGGGGAAACATCCTCTCAGTATTTACCCTGTCAGGCCCCTAAATGTTTCAAAGAGATCGCCTCTCATTCTTCTAAACTCTAGTGAGTCGAGTCAAGTCCCAATATGCTTAGCCTTTGCTCATAAGACAGTCCCTCCAGACCCTGTGAACCTCCTCTGAACTGCCTCTGGTGAAATGATGTCTTTCCTTTATTAAGGCGGGAGAACCAAAATTGCTCACAGTTCTCCAGATGTGGCCTCACCAGCACCTTGTACAGTTGTAGTAAGATTTCCCCACTCTCCTTCACCAACCCCCACCTTGAAAGAAGGGCCAATATTCAATTACCCTTCCCCATTACCTGCTAGCCCCTGTGTGCTGGCTTTCGGACACACGTTCCCCCAAGTCTCTGTAGCAGTTTCCTGTAGTCTTTTAAATAATATTGTTCTCCCTTATGAAACAAACTTTGTGTTTTCCCCACAGTATAATGCATTTGCAATTTTTTGCTCACTCATCTAACCCATCAGTATCTCTCTCTAAACTGTGTCCTTTCCACCTATTTTGATGCTATCTGGCTGTAGTACATTCTCTTCCTTCCTCTACATCAGTTAACGCTCCCAGCACTGATCCCTGTGGAACCCCCCTGGTTACAGGTCACCAACCTAGAGAAAAAACATAAATAATCTCCCTTCAGAGCAGAGGGAAATTGCAAAAATCTTGCACCTTAGTCCCATCTGTGAGCCAGGACTTTCATGTAGCTGGTAACGGGGAGAGGGGTCATGAGGCAGGTTGAATAAAATGACCTCTGAGCCCAAAAGGGAAATAGTGATCTTAACGGGACAGAATTTGATTTTCGGTTTTGGGTGTGAGAAACACGGGTCGGAACCGAACCCTCCGACACCGTGGGCACTTCCAACTCACCCTTTTATAAGGTACCTTTGTCGAACGCCAAACACTACACATCTGCTGGCTTCCCCTCTACCCACATTGGTAGCGACTTGTTCGAAAATCTCCAGTAAACAAGACCAATGTGATCTCCCTGCCACAAAGCTGTTGAGATCCACTCGATTCGGTTATAATTTCATCCCCCCCCCACCCAAAAAGCATGCTGCTGTTACTTAGAGTCACAGAGCTGTACAGCATCGGAACGGACTGTTCGGCCCAACCCCTCCGTGCCGACCCAGACATCCTGAATTAATCCAGTCCCATTTGGCCCGTATCCCTCTAAACCCTTCCTATCCACGTACCCCTCCAGATGCCTTTTAAATGTTGTCATTGTACCAGCCTCCACCGCTTCCTTAACAGTTGATACTTTACCCCCAGGCTAATCAAGCTATATTTGCCCACTGTATGGCTCCCTCCCTACCCCTTTCTGAATAGGGTGTCACGTTGGCCATTTCCCATGTTATGATCGCTATTTCCCTTTTGCTCAGAGGCCATTCATTCGACCATGACCAGACAGAGGGAAGTCTGCTCTATGGTTGGCTCATAGACTGGAACCAAGCTGCAGAAATTGATGCAGTTTTCCAGGGATTTGAAAATTATAGCCAATATCCATAACATGTACCTTATCAGAGCTGGATTGCATTACTCGAGATGAGAACCTGCCCTCAAATAGCGAATTAGCTGCAACAGGAGGGCACCAAGAGGAGGGAAGTGAGGCAGAGAAAGAGATGGAGCTATATCACCAACAGAATGATCTCCTCCTGTGGTGCTTCCCGTCAGTCTTCCTCTCGCTCCCTCCTCCCAGGGGACCTGGACTCAGAGTATGGCTCAATGGTTAAACATCAGAAACCTGGGTTCGATTCCACCCTCGGGCAACTGGCCGTCTGTGTCTGCGTAGGTTTCCTCCGGTAGCTCCGGTTCCCTCCCACAGTCCAAAAATGTGTGGATCAGGGTGGATTGGCCGTGCTAAATTGTCCTGTAGTGCCCAGGGATGTGCGGGTTAGGGTGGATTGGCCATGCTAAATTGCCCTATAGTGCCCAGGGATGTGCAGGTTAGGGTGGACACAGCAAATAGACAAACTATAGGACCCTGAAGTTGGCACAGGTTCATTTTTTTTTTAAAAAAAAATTAGTTTATTGACCAGTGCAACGTGCAGTACAAAATTAAAATGGTTCAGGGTGGAGCGGGTAGTCCAGCAGAGACAGTGGTCTGGGCAGAGAGTCCGCTGCGGAGGGGCCAGGATGTCAGAGCTGGATGCGAGGTAGCAGAAAGACGCAGCAACGGCAAATTTTACCCCCTCTCCCCAGCAACCGCCCACAAAGGGGACAAAATCCACACCCCTCCCACCCCACTGCCCCTGAATGTGTCTCTGGCTGGTGGAGGAGGAAAGAGACACAGAGGCGGGAGAACTGTCTCGACAAAAAGACAGGGAACCATCTCCTTCAGAAGAAATTAAAAACCAGCCACAAGCTTAAGCTAGGACAACAGCTCCACGATCGGAGGGTTTTCGCCTGCGTAGGTTGTATTTAGAGGGCTACGGGGAGGGAAGGAGAGAGAGAGAGAGGTTAGAGATTAACGACTGTCACAATCTGACATGTCCTTCCAGAGTTTTAACCCCTTCTGGGTCACCGAAAGTTACGTTCCTATCACAACCAGTCTCACCCAGCCCCCTCCCCCGCCAGACCCACCACCCCGCCATCAAAATTACCACCGCCAAACTCTGATCCAGGCCCCTCCAAACCCCACTACCTCTGTCACACCCACTTCCCTTCCCTCCACTCCCAC